CCACATACCCCAGGCAACACAAAACTCCTGCCATAAACTCATCTGGGACCCCTTACTCCACAGTGGGTCTCTGCCACCTCAGGGGCCAGAATTTACTGACCACTGAAAGCCCATGCCAAGTTTCCACCTGATTTTAGCTAATCTGCATGCACTCCTTATCAAAATCTCAGTTTCCAAAATTGCCCGCTGCCCAAAGCATTTTCAAATTTCATGTAATCCTCAGTAATTCATGTCAAACATTGGTCAGGGGCACAGTTTTGATCTTTCTAACCAAAAGAGATGCACAATTCATCTCAGCATGCCTGGTTGTAAGGAGGAGAACTCACTGTCATTCCCAAGAAAGCTCCCCAGCATCCAGGTGGCACTTTCCCTGCCTCCTGCAGATTTGTAATTACACTCCTGCTTCCCTCCTTACATTGCTGCTCCTGAGCTCCCCAGCTCAAGATCTGTCACTTTCCAGCTATGGATTTGTTCTGGTTGACATCCAGTCCTGGTTGAAGTCCAGGGCAGGGCTCACCACTGCTGATAAGCAATGAAGTCTGCATAGCCACAGGGCTCAGCTAGCATATCCCATATGGTTGTTTGCATCCTTGGACAGGCTTTTGCTGCTCATCAGGCTGACCCGATTCCCAGAGTCTCTGCTTCTCAGTGGGATTTCTTCCTAAGGGCAATTGCCCAGGCTGGGAGAGCTCACACTGGAGCTCCAGTGCACATTTTGGAGTGCTCAAACCCACTGGGGACACACAGGCTTGAAATCCCTCCCTTTGAAGGGATGGCAGTAACCCAAAATCTGCCTTCTCTCCTGTGGGAACTCAAAATGTCTCTCAGACATTTTTAGAGGTTCCAGGCCGTAGTCAGACACAGTCTGGACCCCGGCAGGCAGCTGGATTTAGCTGTGATTTCGAGTTTAAACCATGAAATGAATTACCAACTTTGAAGGTGGAACAAGCAGTCACAAAATACTAGATAGTATAGTAAATGCAGTCACAAAGTAGAGGGAAAATTTTTTTTAGTAGTTACAGGGGGGTTTTAGTACATGTACAGGGGGGTTTTTACTTTATACATGAGGGTCAGAAGTTCTAAAATGGAGGAAAGTGGGCTAAACCCATCCTTCTTCTTTCTTCTTCCTTACCTCCATGTTCTTAGTGATGTTGGCACTCACAGATTGGTTTAAAATAAAAAAACACTTAGCAACGTAAGCTATAAGTATTAGGGAATAATTGCAAACATGTTATACATAATATATCTTATAAAAAATAACAGCAACCCTAAGCGGGGAGAGAGAAGAAGAAGACACCAGACAGTCAGGGTGTCAAGAATGTGTGCTTCTCTGCCTGGGCCGCTAACCAAAGGGCCGCAGCCCGAGAACCTAATCTGTTAGATAACTAACAATAAATCATCTTAAAACCAAACAAAAAGAGGCTGCAAAATTTTTCTTTAGGAACACAAGTTAGAAGAGAAGCTTTACCACCACACAAAACCCCAAACCAAACCCAAAGTTCTCACATCTGGCATCCCTGGGTGTGGGCACCAGCAAGAAGACCGAAAAGAAACATCAAACAACCTCCAACCTGCATCAGCGGAGAAGAAAAAAAAGAAGAGCAGAGCACACACTCGCCGTAAATTCCAAGAAGAGAGGGAGCGGACAGCTCGAGATAAAAACCTGACCTTCACCGAAACAACTCGCCTCGGGGACTTTCCAGGGAGGAGACGACCCAGAAGCGCGCCTGGGATCTCTCACCTGTGACCTGCTGGACGGTGATCAGTGCTATCTCCAGACTGACCTCGAGCTGACACAGCTTCTGGTGAGAACGGTCAAAATTAAGAACATGGGGAGCAGGTCAGCACACACAGACACAGGCGATGCTCAGCCCAGGGTGTTTGTGGTGCTGTTGGAAGTGCAAAATAATGACTTTGAATAAAAAATTCAAAGAGTCCTTGGGAAATTGGGTTTTAAAGATGCCCAAAACATCTGCAGCAGGTCATTCAGTAACAGGATCTAGAAGAGGTGAATCTGCCAATTTCACCAGGCTGTTTTGCACGAGGCACGCTGACACATTTATGATGGACATAAACATAGATGGAAGGAAATTGCCCCAAAACCCCAAACATGAAAAGTCATAAATGATGTAACTTCATCTAAAATGTGTTAGAGACGAGGCAAACTTTAGGTTTGTTAAGCTACAGAGGAAGACTTCATCCAACCAAAATGCCCAGCAATCAAGTTCAGAGAGGTCTACACATGGTGTTGGAAATGATACAAAGTTTGAAATTCACTTATATAATTTTAGTCAGGGGCTGTTTCATCATTCAAGGCCTGATGAGCTTAACATCTCAACAGACTGGAAGCAGCACAGAAGATATGAAAAAGATAATGACCATTAATGAACATCAACTCTAAACATCACCCCTGGCATGGCTGGAGACAGCTGGTTGGGGAAAAGAGATAAGGAATGAGAGCCTAATTAACACAGAAGGCAAAGGGATCTATAACCAGTATGAAACCAAATACTAAGAACTGCATAACTTGGGACCAATGAACACTGAACCAATGAGTTTTTCTGAGTTTTGACTGCATAGGTATGTGAAAAATCTAATAGAGCCACGTGTGATGGAATTATTTTCTTTGCACAACCTGGACAATGTGTGGATGAAATTATTTGTATTGTACATCCTGGCCAGAATAAAGTAATGCCTGGATTCTCTAACACTAAAAATGTTGTTGGAGAGTTTTTGTTTTTCCTGCAGTTTTGGTGACAATGGAACAACCCATCCTGGCCCCCTTTTTCTTCTGCTGAGCTGCCAAGAAGGGCCCAGACAGCAACAACCATTCAGAGGTGAGCTCAAGTCTCAATGCCCAGTGCAGCCACCAGAAGGATGTGCCAGCTGTGATTTGTATTCCTGTTGCCTCTGAGAACAACAGTGCAACCAGAAATAGGATCAGTGGGGACAATCTCCTCATCAGGAGGAAAGCATTAGCCACAGAAATGAGCAATGAACCTATAAAAGAATCTCACTATTGAGGGACCCATCTGGCTCTCACTAGTGAGAATTTGCATGGCTCCCAAGCGTTTACAAGCAGAATTAATAAGCATCCTTTTATTTCATCAGTTCTAGGCAGTAGGAGGACCAGTTGATTAGTTTGCTTGTTGAAGTATTACTGACATTCTAGCCTATAGTTCTCAAACAATCAGATCTTGATTATTTTTGGTCATGTAAATAAAGTCCTTAAAAGGATTATTTCCAAGCCTATTTAACTCTATATATAAATGCAGCATTATTTTCAAACCTCAATTTCCCAACAAACTTAACAGTAGGTTTTCAGGCACATGGCACAGGAAATGAAGAGGTTTTATGGGAATATTTAAAACTCACTTTTGCAGACAAAGCAGACTTAGAAAACCTCTTTCAAAAGGCTGATGTTTTCAAAGTTGGAAAGGGGCTGATTATGCGCCTTTGAAACAACATTCATTCTCCAAAAATAATATCACTTTTATCACATGCAGAAGATTAAAGGTAAATGGATGGAAGGATATCAGTTGTGCAGAGCTTTGAAATAAACCCAGATTCCAGCTTTGTAGAGAAGTTCACTGGAAATTCTTGCTGAGAATTCTTATTTCCATAATAAAACCATAAAACAGACATCTTCCAAATGCACTGGCTGCACTACAGTGGCCTATGCCACAAGTACATATACTTTGGGAAAAGCCCAGATTACCAGGTTTCTGGGCCAAGGAACAAACAAACAGGAACATGAACATTTCTGGGCAGAGACGGACTCTGGTCTGAAGGACTGTGGGCTTCCCTGGCAGAGTCAAGCATCCTCAAGGCAGGAGGTGATTCAAGAGCACCATGCCAAGATAAATATGAACCTTTTATTCCTCTCTCCTTGCACAGTTTCACACTTGGGTTTTAACTGAATGTCCCTGTTTGGGGGGAAAAAAAAAAGAAAAGAAAAATCAAAGCAAGTCTAGGAAGAAAGTGTATTGACAGCAACATCTGCTCTAAAACAGAGTTTTAGGCACAGGCAGAATTTACCTTACTCCTCCTTAGCCTATAACTCTATTACAGAGTAAACAGGGGAAGGCCAAGGCAAGGCTGATGAAGAATCTTAATAGTTTCACACACCAAATGACAGGAATTTTCAGATCATTAAGAAACAAAACCAAAATGTTCTTCATCAGGAAAAAGCAAAGTCAAAAGAAACCCTGTAAAAGTAGGAGAATATCTCACTGACAGGGCAGGAAGAAAATTCCAGAATCAATTCAATAGTAAAAAGAAAAGTTCTGGGGGATATTTTTCTGTAAACATTCAACACAAAGGAAAAATAAAATCTTGGGGAAAAAAAGTAAATTTAGGTAGAATTCATCTAAATTCTTGGCTGAAAGAAATACTAAGTTATAGACTTCTGAAGATGGCAAATATTTAAATTCCAATCATTTGCAAGTAAAATTTTGTGACTTATTTGTTCAAAGTATCATTCAATTAAAGAAAAAAAAGGCAAGAGTAATCAGAACACAAACATTCAATTTTGGGGGAATGAAATATTTTGGTTTATTCAAGGTTTTGGCATAATAAGTTTTTGGTTTCATTCTGCCAAAGAAAACTTCAGAAAATTCTGACTTAAGACATTTTTTCCTGTTTTTTCGGTTTGGCTTCTGAATTTAAAAAAAAATCCCAAACCAGTATTTGTCTGGATGTATTAGAGTCATTGAATGAAACCATGCCAAGGTAACATCATTTGAAAGTAGCCAAAATTAAGATGCTAAAGCATCAGATTAATCCAAAGCAGCTGTGTGCTGTCTTGGGCTCACTGACTGCTGAAGGAAATACAAAAGGAACGATGCAATGCTACTCGTGATGGATTCTGGAATAGGAGTAAATGTTTGGAGCTCAAAGCTGGTGGAAGATGTCTCCCTCTGTCCTTTGCTTTTTCTCCCTAGGCTTCTGGCTAAACATGAAGCGATACGTGGAATAAATAAATAGACTCCACAACTCGATGTAGTTATGAAGTGGGTATGTATGACAGCGCCCGGCACAAGTAAGATAGCTCTCCAAAATCTTGTGCCCCGAGCTGAAGTTTGTCCCACAATTTTATTCACAAAGGTGTTTTATATGCAATACATTACACAACTTTTCTATGCATATTCAAGCCCTGGCCCCGCCTGTCTTCACCTTTCATGCTGAATAGGTCCACGCCCTTCTGGGCATGCGTGGTTTTCTGTGGTGGTCTTTTTGGGAATCTCTGATGGTCTTCTGAGGCTGAAACCATAGTCTTCCTCTGCATTGAACTTTTGAACTCTTCTCCTCTGCGCATGCGCTTTTGGTCCTCTGCTATCTTATCTGGATAAGTCCATCATCCTTGACATATTTGGAGACAGAGGGGCCTCCTTATCTGAGTTCTTTGCATTCCTGGTCTTCTCTGGTATTTGTCTTTTTCCAAGAAGCTTTAAAGATTTTTTTTTTCTTCTTTCCTATGCCTTCTGTGCCATGGCAGAGGTTTCTTAAAATTCAACACATGATTCTACAAACATGATACATTCATTTTTGATACATTCATTTTTATACATTCATTTTGTTAGCTCAAGTGATCTCTGGAAAATCTCTTATTTCAAACACACCAGTGATATACTGCTGCTGAGGCAGACAGGTGCTGTCTAAAACTTTTTTAAAAATGGACTTCACTGACAAACAGTGGCTGCCTTTTACTAGCACAGGTATTGTCTTGGCATTCAGAGGTTATTTATTGGTGCTGTGCTGTAACATTCTTAATTTCAAAAGGCATAAGCCAATTTAGCTGTAAAATCCTTTAAATTTTTGTGTTCTCTCACTTGCAATGCTGAATGTCCTTTGGTAGGCAAGATGTGATGGCTCATGAGACAGGTACAGCCTCCTGCTGCTCTGTGCTCCCATTCCTGCAACTCCTGTGGCCATTCCTGCCACCACTGAGGCCACCACTTCGATCACTGAACTGCTGCCAGCATCAGGAAAAGCAGCGCGTTTCAATTCCTTCCATGTCTATTTGGCAAAACTAAATTTTTAGAGCTCATTTCTCAGTGGAAAAAAAAAAAACATATTGTCTTCACCAGGAAATGTATGGAGACAGAGCAGAGATAAGGAATAACTAATGGGAGCTAGCAGAACAGTAAGTGCAGGAGGAGTCCTCACAGCACTCAGCTTCCAGCATCAGCAGCAGTCCCTACATCTTAATGATAGTCTGTGTCTGGGGCTTGGGGGATTGAGGGCAGCATTTGCTGTCAGGTAAAGAGTTGCTTCATGTCCCTTTCACACTTTTTGCTATGGCTCCATCACAGAATGCCTCTATCAATAAAAGAGACCCCTTTTGGCTAGTACCCCCTCTAACCTACTGGCTGTTTCATGAGAAAACAAGTAAGACACAGTGTGTTCTGCAGCCAAAACAGAAATAGTCTTTCTGACAGAACAGTAAACAAGAGAATTTGTTTGTAATGACAAAGAAAAGGCAGGAAGCAATGCACTTTGATATGCATGCAAGACCTTAAGAGTATAATTTTTGTACTGTCATGAAAACTGTAAGTAGAATAATGGAATAAGGAGTGATATTGTCAGTGGTTATTAGCACATTTGACAGAACACATGACAGCCAAGAACCTTGACAATGATATAAAAACTTGCTTAAGACCATGTAGGAGGAGATAGAGTGATTTAGAGCAACACTTAATAGTCCGGTGAACCTCAAATTACTATGTTACAGTTTGGACTAGAAAAGTCCAAAGATATAGCAAGGAGAAAGAGAACTTAAGAGGGAAACATTTGCTTTTTTATATTTAGCATGGTGGCAGAGTAACTTCCAAATATATAATGGTACAATTTATGTTTAGTCATATTTTATAGAACTTCTCAATGTGATATATATAGTAAGGCAGTAATAAAGCAGAAATACCACTGCCAAAAGGCAAAGGCACTGCAGCCATTGGCCCAAATAAGTTGATAAATAAAGATTTTACACAAAACTAGGTAATGTGTAGGCACTGGCATCCTCACACCTAATCCCACAGTGCTGTGAGCAGTTCCCAAAATAAAAAGTTCAGATTCAGAAACATGATATTGTGTCAAGTTACTATTCAGCACGTGGCACAAACAACAGGTGAGGGTTTCACTTCATGTATTTCAGGTTTATAGTTAAAGCACAAGTCAAAACTCTACAGTCAAAGCTGTATTTCAGATTCACCCTCTGTGGTCTGGTACCCTCAGCAGCTGCTTCTCAACAAACCCTAAATAAGGAATATAAAACTATTTTTATATCTACTGAACTCCTCTCTTTTGAATCTGTGGAGTCACAGTCAATATCCATGATGTGGTACTGAAAGAGAAAGACAACTGCACTTGTTCAGAGAACGCAATAGCCGAATATCCCTTTTTCAAAGACACTTGTATTCTTTGGTAATTAACGCAGACTAAAGTCTTAAAAACCTTATCGCCAGAACTAGCATCAATTCCCAATGTTATCATGAGTGAGACAGAAGGAGAACCAAGTCCGGAGACCCTCTCTTTAGACAGCAGGCTTGTCAAGCCTAAATTACTTCTGCATCCTTCTGTCTGCAAGCAGTTTTATGTCTGCCAGGTTTTGTCCACAGTATTTGCTCCACGGAGCTTACAGGATGCCACTACAAGGGCAGTGATGCTGTCTGTGCATCACTTCACCCCAGGGACTTGCCTCGTCACCTGGTTGCATGCTGTGTGGAGCCCCAGTGTTACAGCAATGGGCTGCATTTAAACTTCTTTACAGAAGACTTGAAAATAATTATTAAGGTGGTTTATATTCCCATTCATGCTACTGGTTACTTGTATCAGGCAGACCAGACTTCTGAAGACTGCATCCTATAAAAGTAGATGAAACTTGCAGGCTTGGGGTTGCACTGCTGGAGCTAGAGGGACAAGGCTGTGCCAGGTACAGAACAGATGCTGCCCAAGCCAAGAATTCAAATTGCTATCTCTGGTACTAAGATTGCATTTTAAGCTTTTATGGTCCGTGAAAAGCATCTTCCCCATTGTAGAGCCAAGGTAAAAATGTACTTCCAAACGTGACAAAAAAAAATGTCTAAGATAAATTATGCATTACCTTTCTATGCGAAGTCTTTCAGGTGACAGAGAAGCAGATGGTTTTTGAGTCATGTGTACATGTTTCTCAGCAGAGCTTCCTATGAATGTTTCTAGGCACAAAGAACAGTGAAAAGATCAGATAAAATCCTTTCAAAGAGGAAGAGGAAGAGATGCCATTCTAGTGACAACTTAAAATACATTAATCAAATACTGGAAAAGTTGTTCCAGCTTATATTTAAAGGTGAGTAGAAGTTTCCTGGATTGAGACACAAACGAATATTGTGTCTTTTCTTTTTAGGTGATCTTAAACAGGATGTCACAGGGGGTCCCTGAGAATATGCTCACAGAGCGACAGCAAAGGCCTTGAAAATACATGCAGAGGATGATTTCAGAGGGAAAAGCACCAATATGAATCAGCGAGATTGGTCAGTGCAGGATTACAACCTGAGAGCTGGGCAGGGTTTGCTTCAGGGTGCAACAAAGAAGTTGTAAAAAAAGGGGAATAAAGAACTTATATTGAACAGATATAAAACATTTCGTATATAGAGAAAAAAATGAAAGAATAAAAAAAAAAAGGAGGAATAGGAAAAAAAACCCCTCTGCAGGACAGTGATTGCAGGAAGAGGAGGGTGAGAGGGTGTGCCCTGCACTGTGCCATCCCCTCCCTCCAGTAGTATTGTGCCTAGTCAATACTTATCCACAGCAGGTCCTCTCTCCCCTTCTGTTGAGAGGGAATGCTGCTGTACTGAAACTATCCATCAAATGTTATCTTTTTGTTCATGGGTTAAATAAACCAGGATTATAAAGAGCTGTGCACACATGCATGTGTGGGTTTTCTGCTCTAGCTTTCCAAAGCAAAGTGGTAAAGACCACAGCACCTGGTTAGATTAAATGTGGACCAAATAAATTTTTAAAAATTAATTAAAAATATAGAATTTTCAAATAATTAAAAAGCTAAAAAACCTCTAAGTATTTAAAGGTTTATAAATGCTATAAAGCTTCAGATAATGAATAAATAATTCATTACAAATAATTCTTAAAGGTGCATTTCCTTGCTCAAGGAATTCCTGAAATGAAGCTTGGCAAATGCAAAGAACCCATGAAAAAAAAAAAAAAAAAAAAAAAAAAAAAAAAAGAGAGGGATTCATTCCAGAAAGTACTGAACTTAACAAGTTTCTACCTTAACATGAGAAGAGAATTATTATTCTGTCACTCCATCTGAATGATACCAAGATTCAGACACCAGGCACGGCACCAGAGCGCGAAGCTTTGCTGTACCCAGAGCAGCTCCTTGCTGCACCTGTTTGCAATCGATTGCCTCATTATCATTCACTCAGCAGGAGGGAACAGCTAAATTCACATCCAGAGAAAACTGAAAATTCCTTGGCTGTATAAATGTCTCTTTCTTGTGCAGCCCTGCACACACCCTGAGTGCTGGGAGCTTTGTTGTCTGTGTGCTGCATGGTAAAGAATTGCACCACAGAAGTCTCCAAGCTGGGGGGATGGCAACTGGACATGATAGAGCACAAAAATGAGAAGCTGTGCCCATATGATGTGTTGGTATTTTTTTTTTTCCCAAGGCTTTTTTTCTCCCTAAGATGGATACAACTGAACAAGAGCAAGGATAGAATAATATATGGAGAGGAAGGAAGCAGGAAAAATCAATACATTTTTTCACAAGTTTCCATAAATCACAGTAAACCACCATCACTATTTTCATCCCTGCAGCCAGGTGGGCTCTGTGCTGCAGTGCAGAGATCCAGAGTTTGGACTTCACACCATGGCTTTCTGCTTCCTGGGCTGGCAAGGGTGAGAGACCCAGTCTTGCTGGGCATGCAAGGTCAGACTGGAGGGGGCTTGGAGGAACCTGGTCTAGCTGGAGATATCCCTGCTCACTGCAGAGGGTTGGATGAAATTATCCTTAAATGTCTCTTCCACTCCAACTGCCCTATGAGTTTATGACTCAGAGCTGCCAGGAGGGTTCCAGGCACCGCTCCAGGCACTCCCCAAATTGACCTGGGGTGTAGCTTTTAGGGGTAGACTCCTAAACCTTTGGAAATACAGTTTTTACAACTCAAGCATCATAACACTGAAAACTGCTGTAGAGTTTTGTTTCATTTCATTGGTACTTATGTTCCCCCTCAAATATTTGCAGCGCCTTATCTCTGCTTGGATTTAGTTCTGTTTTTTTTTTTTTCCTGTACACTGCTGAAAGTTAAATTTAATTGCATATAGGAAGAGCTCAGTAAATAGTTAAATATATTTATTCTTAAGAGCCACATGTAAGAATCACACATGCAGAAACTGGTAATTTTCACATGGAAATAGCTGACCAACCACGAGTCCCAAAATAGCAAATACCTACTGAAACAATTGTACCAGTGGAATATGTTTGCATAAATTATTCACAGAATAATTCTGAATATTGAATGTGTGGAATGTTAAGGCAGTCTGGTAAAGTCTGCACAGCTGCATTTTTCTTTTTTGTGCAGATTTTTATCACGTCATGATAAGATCAGTCCTGTGGTCTGCTCATTTCTCTCTCTCCTCACAGTCTTGCAGACAAAAGGTGTAACTGCATGGCCCTGTCCTACAGCATCCCTTGTAAATCAGTCTGACCAACTCTGAACATGAAGAGCACCAAGGTTAATAGGAACAAAGTGGTTAAATCAGGATTTCTTCATTAGGACAACTGCCTGTTATTAGGAGATTCTATTTTTTTGATGCTGAAAATTCTTACAAAAAATGAACTCTGAGAATTGACTTGTTTTATTTGCTCTCTTTGGACTGTGCTATCGTTTTGGGTGCCTGGATCCTATGCTGACCAGTCTGTATCAATCTGTCACTTGCCCAAAAACTGCTCACATCTGTAAGGTGAGATAAAGTACCACAGGTCCTTTAAGAGGCAGTTTGACACCATTAGTTATTTCCTATGATTGATTCAGCACAATGCAAAGGAACAATTTCAGTTCTTTTCTAGACTGAAAGTACACAAGAAAAATAAATATTCCTTTCTTAAAATTCATGGAAGATGAAGTTGAAGAACCTCTTGGCTCACTGTGACCAGGAATTTAATTTTATTCTGACAAGTCCATTGATTTAAGTCAATGCATCTTGGGTAGAAGAGGCATGAATCAACCTCTAAAAAAATCCAAAATACATAGGGAGAAAAAATAATCTTATACTACTTTTCCTTTACTGATTCTCCAGCAGCAAGTAAAGAATAGTAAGTGTTCTAAACACTGTTGTAAATTTTCATATTAATGGTGTTCCCTGAAGTACTTGCATACCATGAAATGAAAAGAAACAATGCAGGTTTGTGCCAAGAAATTAACATCTGACAGGTAGAAGATGACAACCACAGAAGGAAAAGGTGGCAAAAAGCAGAGGTCAAATGAATAAAGGAACCAACACATTCTGAGGTGTTTGAGAGGCAGAAACTCTCTATCAGTTAAGTTCCAAGATTAGCTTATGGCCACATGCAATCCTTATTTTCACCTCTGAACTCTGTCCAGTATCTCAGAATACCTCTTCATGGAACAATATCAGGCCACATAGAATGACCCTGAATGAACTTGCTCAAAGAACTAAAGTAACTAAACCCCTTCTGAGAAGTGTATTAAGAACATCACTTGATCCTGGCTAGTCTGTGTCTAGTCCTGAGAGGATGGTTGAATATAAATCTCTCAAGCTCTAGTGAAAATGTAGTCTTGGCTTCTTGTGTGCCATCTGCAACGTACAGTATTTTTTCATCTAGACAAATTCTTAATTGCCGTGACAAATGCTGAATTTTTCTATTGTATGGCTCATTTATGGACCTAGTGATGAAGATATTATTTCAATTATCATGGGAAAAGAAATATAAATAAGAATAAAATCCCTTAAGGAGTTGGTTGGTGGATTCACAGAAGTCAATAATAAAATTTACCACTGATCAGAACATTACGAGCCAAAAATATCCTTTCAAACAAGATGGAAAGGTCAAATTAGCATCTGGAACTAAGTAGCTCTACCTGAAGTAAATTTATGACTTCTGTAGCTATTAGGTATAAGAACTTCAAAACTGTCAGTACATTTATCAAGTATATGAATCATTCCATCTCCGTTTTTCAGGTACAAATTCAAAGGCCCCACAAAAATGTCAAGGTACTTAGCATCTAACCTTAACCAATTTCCATGGAAAATAAATGGGCATCATACCTTGAAGAATCTGACTCAAAATTATTTCCCTCAGGTCTTATAAGTAATCAGCTGCAGAAGAGAAAACTGAATCAAATTTTCCAAGTTCAAGGCTGGCAACCTAATCTCTGGATGGATTCCCTCTCCTGTGTGTTAAAACAGCAGCCTGGAAAAGAAGCCACGTTCTGCCCCTTGGTTGAGTCTTTGGCCTTGTCACAACACAAAAGATCCATGGGACTTCTTGGGGCAAGCTATGAGAAAAGGATAGGCTATAGATACATATTTCTATATGGAGTAAATATTTATTGTAGGATCTTATTGCTCAGAGTCACTGGCATGGGTATTCACTGCTACAAGAAATATCACTAATTCACCTTGGGTGTTCGGTTTGGTTTTGGTGTTTTTGTTTGGAGTCTTTTTCTCCTTACAAGTGTTAGGGATCTCAGTGTTAGCATGGCCCTGCCATAAGCCACAGTGGTGACTCCTCAAGGTGAGGCAGAGCAAGTCTCCCACACTGGGAGCACTGCATAGCAGCAGTCCCACATGCTTTGCCCTATTACTGCTGAGGAAACCTGCTGAGTACCCCACGGGAGAAGGGGCTGCATCAAAGCAGCAGCCTTCTTGATCAGACAAGACCTGCAAACTCAGGGGCAGATTTATCAGAGCCTTTCTGGCATATCTGTGTTCTCAGAACTTCATGCTTTCCTCTCCAAGGGCCCCAGAAGAATTTTGTTCTAACCCACAACCAAGACATGAGCAGGAAAACACATTTCAAGGTGACTGTTGAAATGTTTTCTACACTTTCTGCCCCACTCTGCAGACTTACTTGGGAGAGTGATATAAAGCACAGAGACAGGAAGGGCTCCTGTAATCCCTGGGATTTACATGTAAAAATCCAATCCTTGTCAGCTCTGCCTTCTTCCTCTCTAAA